TACTGTGGGCGAGAGGTTCTCCAAATGTGGTTCCATCAAAATACAAACATGCTATATTATGATCTTGTCTTTAAAAAGTAACCTTTGCCCCCATATCTGTTTCCAGCTATCACCCCATTTCTCTGTTCAGTATACAGCAAAACTAATAAAAAGTAGTTTTTACTTCTTGCAGCCTTTTTAAAATATATACACATAAAGAACTGCTTTTATTGAAAACAATACAACATGAATCATAATGTTCAGCATTAAAAATGTTTCCACTAATGGAACATTTGAAATTAACATTGCATTAGAGGGGAGGGATAAATCAGGAGCTTGGGATGAACATACACACACTACTCTATAAAGATAGATAACCAACAAGGACATATTGTACAGCGCAGAGAACTCAATATTCTGTGATAACCTATAAGAGAAAAGAATCTAAAAAAGAATGAATATATGTATATGCATAACTGAATCACTTTGCTGTACAACTGAAACCAACACAACACTGTAAATCAACCATACACCAATAAAATTAAGATTTAAAAAAAAAAACACTGCGTTAGAAAATTACACGAATATGGTCACCCTACCTATGAAAACTACAGTCAATTTGTCAACAAAACAGTTAAGCTTTGTTCACTGTTCTTCTCCCCCATATGTTTGTGGTTATTAAGACCATTTATGTTAAAAATGGATCAAGGTTTTGTGTCGGTTCTATAGATATGATGAGTATTTATCCCAGGTTTCCTGGGACACCCCAGGTTGCAAATGACTGTATCCTGGTTTGGGGATGGGAGGATGTGGTCCACACTGTTGGCTCTGTGTGGTGAGGGTCTCCTGATCCAGGTGTGAAGGGGTTAGAATGGATCATTTGGATAACATCTGAGACAGCAACAGAACCAAAGGGTACAAGAACGAGAAAGCTGTTTGAGCGAAACTGGCGGCCCTTGAAGAAGCAGGCAAAGGTGTCAGGCAAGCATGAGGCCAGGATGTGTCTGGGCGAAACAACTTGAGGGTAGATCAGGCAACCGCCTTGGAAGAGGAAGTTGGTTTTCTTGACTCAGCAGCTTAGTCACCTTCCGGCATCATCAGTGTCAAGTACTCTTTAGCCTTCAGGGCCTGGCCACGGGCTTCTGAGGTGGTTTCATCACCTCGGAAGGGGGGATTTTAGAAGGGTGCACCTACGGGTTCATTTGTGGGAGAAACCTTCATTCCTTCTTCACGTGAATCCATTCAAGGGCTTCCTCTGTGCCTGGCAGCCTGTGAGAAACTGGGCAGGATCCATAAATGGCCAAAACCCAAATCTTTGCCTTTGAGGAGTTTTCAGTCCAGTGTGGGGGACAGGCCTATAGAGTAGTAAATTATAATCCCACGTTATCAAGGATTCCTATCTAGATAGAACCAAACACTGAGGGGCATAGAGAGGAGAGAGCCACTAACCACGGGATAGCTGGGGTGACTCAGGCCGGCCATCGTGTAGTGGGCCTCACACAGTCCTTTCTAAGTCCTTTTCCCCCTCAGTGGGTGAGTACAGGGAATAACAAGAATTGTTCCTCCCGGGGCTGTATAAGTGCTTCTGAGAAGCCCCCTTATCCTTCCAGGCTCCTGCTGATTCTTTTCCTATTTTCTTCCCTTTAAGGACCTGTCAGAGTCCAGGCAGGAAACTCTCAGCTGCGGTGTTTAAAAGGCTTTTTAGTGAAGTGACTATTTAGAGGTTTCCCCAGAAGTAGTAAGAGATGTTGTGCCCCCAGCAGCTGCCCACAAAGGGAAGCCGCTCGTCCACCTGCCCTGCAGAGACAGGGGAAGAGGTGGTGGTGGTGGTATCCAGGTGAAAGCCAGCATGCTGGGAGAGGGGCTGCTGGACAGGAGCTGCTTGCCCACAGGGCACCATGCCAGGCATTGAGGAATTAAGGATCAACCAGCCAGACCTGGCCCTCACCTTTACGGAGCTTATGGTCAAAGCAGACTGTCCTGCAGGTCCCAGGGCTCTGGTGATTTCTGATCTCTCTCCCTCATTCCTTATTGGCCACGCCCTCTTCTTACCCCATGTGCTCTGAGGGCCTAGGGGATACCAGCTGCAGGGCCAGGTGCCATGGGCTTCAGAGATTCCAACCCGACATGCTTCCTTCCTCTAGGGAGTTCATCGGGGTGGAAAGCAAAGCAATCAAGTTTCAAACCCGGATATCACTGGGGAATAGCTCGGTGGCCGTGGACAAGACACTTCCACCAGGGCACCCATTTCTCCATCGCTTTACATCTCAGGGTTTTGTGCGCTTTCTTGGGCTCTAGTGGAAGAAGAGTGGCTGCAAAGCTGAAGAAGAGGTCTCCAGTCTCCAAGTTTCCAGGCTCCAAGGTGCACAAAGTGAACCAGGGATGCAGGCCCAGAGGAGACTCCAGCTTTCTGTTACCGATGAGACAGCTGGCTCCTAGATCCAGGAATGGACAAGCCCACAACTGAGGATTCTAAAAGTCCCCCAGATTTTTCTTTTCTTCTCCCTCCCAGAGCTCCTTAGTTTGGGCGCTCCTCACATTTTGCCTGCACTCTCTTCTTCCCATGGGCTGTGGATTAGTGCTGAGAGATAACTGCAGAGTTGCAGCCTTTCTTAAACCTATTCCAATAGTTCTCTCTACGACCTCACTGAAACACTTCTTGTTGAGGACACCACTGATTTCCACATTGCCTAATCAAACCCTCAGGTCTCAGTTTACGTGTTAGCTTCCAAGATAATTTCACACAGCTGGATCATTCCCTGTTCTGGAAACAAGTTCCTTATGTGGCTTCTAAGGCATCACTAATTTCTTCCTACTTCACTAGTTACTTCTTCTTGGTCTCATTTGTTTATTCCTAGTCATTCCCCTGACTTCTAAATGTTGGAGTTCCTTAGAGATTAGTAGTCCTCTGTTCTTTTTTCTACCTACACTTTGTTGTCTTATCTCATGATTTTAAATAATATCTTTGTGTGGATGTTGTTTATATTGATTATATTCAACTTCTCCCTTGAATGCCAGACTTGATATTCAGTTGCCTCAACAGCTTGACTTTCCCTTCTCTTCCTTCAGGGATGTTGTCAAATACCAACTTATCAGACCCTCCCCTACCTAAAATACTTCCTTGCCCAAGCACTCCTGCCCCAACTCTAAATTATTCTCTCCACATATCGCCTGGTGTGTTGTATACATATAGACATATATAAATATTTAACATGCTAATAACATGCAAATAAAATAGTTACATAAATAAAATTTATGTACCATAAATACATAAATGTTATGCATATATGGACATAAGTATTTACATGTAAATATGTACACATTTTACGTTTACATATTTACACATGTATATTTATATGTCTGTTATACATATATGTATAACATAAACATAAACATTTATGTTCTATAACATTTATATATAAATATGCATACATATTTATACATATGTCTTTTGGTCTGTTTTCCCCTACTAGAATTTATTAGAATCTAACCTCCATGAAGGCAAGCTCTTAGTGCCTAGAATAGTCCCTGGACTTTGATAGGCACTGAATGACTACATAATTGCATTCCAGACAATAGGCCTGATTCCAAGATACTCATCCTTTCTAAGAATTTTAGCAACAACAACAAAACAAAAGGCCTAACCACCTGTCATAGTAAGGAACTTTAGGTTAACCTCTAGATTCTACATATTAAAAAGTTGACTTCACTTTCTGCAAATCAAGCACCTACAGTGAAGGGGGAAAAGGGTTTGTATACTTTATGCAGAGAAAAATCTGGTAAACTCAAATTCTGTTGCATCATTTGCCTGGAAATCTTGTGCACTGCCTTGATTTTTGATGTTTTAGAGGAAGTGAACAAAACTAATTTTTTTTTCTTTCTTGTGCCAAATATCATATTTTGGGATATTTGAAAGGATTTCATGAGGCTGCAGAGTTTGAGCTGTTTCCTCACATCAAGCCATTTTTGTAAATAGAAGATTCAACTTTTCTGGTCCCCTAGTGACTCACAAGATTATTTTTTCTAATTGATGTTAATATCCTGAACCTGAAACCAACAGGGAAAAATAAGAACAGTGATTTTTTTTTTTCCAGTAAAGGTACTCAGATCCAACTGAACAGGAGGTTTCAACAGATGGCAGCTGAAATAAATCTCTCTATATAGTGGAATTACAGAGTTTAAAGAATTGTATAGCCCATCATCTACCACTGCTCATACTCTATGTTAAAGATGTAGCAAAGTAATTACATTTGGGGAATTCCCTGGTGGTCTGGTGGTTAGGACTCCTCACTTTCACGGCCTGGGTTCAGTCCCTGGCCGGGGAACTAAGATCCTACAAGCTGCATGATGAGGCCGGAAAAAAAAAAAAAAAAGTAATTGCACTTATAAAAATGTGCAACATTGTCTCACATTTTCATTCTTGTATAAGTAAAGTTTCTTCTGCCTGGATGGACCTTGCCTTTGATTTGGCTTTACCTTCTCCAAATGTTTCTTTTGATCTTGGTCTCAATTTAAGCAATTCTCTGTGTCTGAAAGACCTTTTACGTAGTTGACATTACATAAATTATCATGTATTATTAATTTGCTACTCTCATTCCCCCAAATATTGTTTATTGAAACAATAAAAGACACTTTTCTATTTCTGTGTTCCATTTGCATCATATAGCACCTGCCATAAGTAGGTGTTCAATAAATATTTGCTAAGTGAATGAATGAATAACAAGTCCTCTCTTCCACCAGTTTAGCAGTGTGAACTGAAGCTCCCCAAGTTCTAAGCTATTAGTTGAAATAACAGAAATGTAGGAAGTTACTCATCAGAATCTTCCTTAATTCAGTTTTCAAAATTAGAGTTCCTGTGTTCCTTTGTCTTGATAAATATACCCAGTAGACAGTTGAGATCCTGAAAGCCTTTTGAAGCTTTTGGACTACATGAACTAAATAAAACTAGGTATAATAAAATGCTTTCTACCTTTTATTCTATTTTGAACACATTTTTATTTAAGAAGTCACTGTCATTCAGCTATCAGTTGAAATGCTTTATTTCTTAAAGGTATTTTAAAAAAATTCATTCAAATCTTTTTATATTTCAAATTAGCTATCCTAGACTTAGATTTAAAACTCATTTTTCCCGAGTATATTTTCTCTTTATTTAAGAGTAATATATTTTCATAGAGTGTGTTGAAAATTAGGAAAATCAAGGGTTTTTGTTCTGTCAGGTGCAGTGTTTAGAGTGTTATTTTGATAAAATCCAGTAGCTCTGATATTGCTTGAAAATACTTGGTCCTTTGGAGTATAATAGCAGGGGAAAAACTGTGGCATGGGTAAAAATTCACCATAATTACTTGAATTGGTTTTATACATAATCATCTTAGGTTTTGATAGTGAGGTAGCTGTATGGAGTGTCTTTGGGTCCAACATACATGAAAACACAGGATTGCCAGGGTTCACACAAGGAGGCAGTTGTTCAGGTTTCATTTCTGTTTCTGAATTTGAAGCTGAAGTACTTTTCTTATCCTAAAAGATAAATGCATAAAATAATTCTCAATTATAAAGTTCTGGAAAAAACCAGAATTATTTAAACTTAGCCCTAAGCCTTTCTTACCCCACTACTCACAAAAAGTAACTCGAAAAAGATCAAAGACCAATGTAAGATCTGACACCGTAAAACTCCTAGAAGAAAACACAGGGAAAAAGCTCCTTGGAGTTGGTCTTGGTAATTTTTTGGATATGACAACAAAAGTACAAGCAATAAAAGTAAAAATCAATAACTGTGACTACATCAAACAAAGAAGCTTCTGTGCAGCACAAGAACAGCAGAAGGAAGAGGCAGCCTTGGAATGGGAGAAAATATTTGCAAACCATACATCAGATAAGGGGTTAATTTCCAAAATACCTTTAGAACTCATACAATTCAATAGCAAAAAACCAAACAATATAATTAAATAAAGGGCAGAGGATCTGAACAGTTTTCCCCAAGAAGACATACAGATGGCCAACAGGTACATGAAAAGATGTTCAACATCCTTAATCATCAGAGAAATGCAAATCTAAACCATGATGAGATATCAATCCACACCTGAAGAATGGCTATTATAAAGTTAAGAGAGAATAAGAGTTGGCGAGGATGTGGAGAGAAGGGGACCCTCGTGCACTGTTGGTGGGAATGTAAATTGGTGCAGCCACTGTGGAAAACAGTATGGAGGTTCCTCAAAAAACTAAAAATACGGGACTTCCCTGGTGGCGCAGTGGTTAAGAATCCGTCTGCCAATGCAGGGGACGTGGGTTCGAGCCCTGGTCTGGGAAGATTGCACATGCCGCGGAGCAACGAAGCCCGTGCACCACAACTACTGAGCCTGAGCTCTAGAGCCTGCAAGCCACAACTACTGAACCCATGTGCCACAACTACTGAAGCCTGAGCACCTACAGCCTGTGCTCCACCACAAGACAAACCACCGTGAAGAGAAGCCCGCGCACCACAACTAGAGAAAGCCCACGCGCAGCAACGAAGACCCAACGCAGCCAAAAATAAATAAATAAATAAAATAAATGAAAAAACAACCATAAAAACTAAAAATAGAACTATCATATGATCCAGCAATTCCACTTCTGGGTATATATCCGAAGGAAATGAAATCACATCTTGAAGAGATAACTGTACTCCCATGTTCACTGCAGCATTCACAATAGCTAAGACATGGAAACAACCTAAGTATTCATCAACAGATGAATGGATGAAATTTTGGTATATACACACACACAACGAAATATTATCAGCCATAAAAAAGGAACGGATCCTGCCATTTGCAGCAACATGGATGGACCCTGAGAGCATTATGCTAAGTGAACTTAAGTCAGACAGAGAAAGACAAATACAGTATGATCTCACATACATGTGGAATCTAAAAAAAAAAAAAAAAGTCAAACTCAGAGCAGAATGGTGGTTGCCAGGGGCTGGGGATGGGGGAAATAGAGAGATGTTGGTCAAAGGGTACAAACTTCCAGTTATAAGAAGAGTAAGTTCTAGGGATCTAACGTACAGTATGGTGACTACAGTTAACAATACTGTATTATATAACTGAAAGTTGCTAAAAGAGTAGATGTTCTCACCATATCCACACACAAAAATTTGTAATTATGTGAGGTGATGGACATATTAACTAATCGTATTGTTAATCATTTCACAGTATATATGTATATGAAAGAATCATGTTGTACCTTAAACTTACACAATATTATGTGTCAATTATACCTCAGTAAAGCTGGAAAAACAATAGAGAAGAAAACAAAAACTTAGCCCCATCTACTCTCCTTTTGGGAGTCATTTTCTCTGGAGGACATTGAAGAGTATCCATTCAATTATATATATCTGTACAGAGCAAACTTGTCAAAAGTATGTACAAGGTAGCTTTTTAAAATCCTGTACTAGAACTATGAGAATTTATAAAAACGTGTAACTTATAGAGTAAGACTGCAATAGGTCATAGTTCGAAGAGGATGTACAGCTTAATTTCAGAGTGAAAAGGGAACAAGATAAACATTCAGGGATCTTAACCTTGTGGGGGATAGCCATTAAGCAAATAATTATACAACTGACTAATTATAATTGTGGTAAGTGCTATGAAGAAAAAAATTCAGGATATTTATGAAGACATATAGGGGGTTCTAACCTAGTGTGAGGGCCTAGGAAGGCCATTCTGGTGAAGTGTCGCTGAATCTTAAGACTGGAAGGCAAGGAAGGAAAAGATAGAGGAGGGCACAAAGAAAAAGCATGGCCAAAGTGGAGTAAGTTAGAGTGAAAATGGCTGCAGATGAGAATAGAGGGGCAGGAGCCAGATCCTGAAGGGTCTGGTTGGCTATGTGAAAAGTTTAGATCTTTATGGTAAAAGCAGTGGAAAGCTATTGAAGCGTTTTAAGGAGAAGCATGTCATGATGTAATATGCTTTTTAGTAAGATTACTCTGGCGGCCGTCAGAGACTTGAATGGATGTGGAGAGGAGCTTCAGTATTCCATGTGACTGACGATGATGATTTATAGAAGAATGGTGGTATAGAGAGAATAGTAAATAAATTTGAGACACATTTTGGAAGTAGAATTCATTGGACCTGGTGATTGGATGTGGGTAGTGAGGAAGAGGGACAGATCAAGAAAGACTCCCACATTTCTGGACATTTGGGTAGATGGTGGTGCCATTTACTACAATTTAATATGTAATTAACATATATAATAAATTTAATAAATATTTAAAATATACATAACTTAGCTATTTGGGGAGGGAGGGAGCAAGATATTAAAAAGAATGGGTACAAAAGTGCATATTGCTTTCTAGCAATGCATATAACATGCTTATCCTTAGTAAAGTCGGGACTTCCCTGGTGGCGCAGTGGTTAAGAATCCGTCTGCCAATGCAGGGGACGTGGGTTCGAGCCCTGGTCTGGGAAGATTGCACATGCCGCGGAGCAACGAAGCCCGTGCACCACAACTACTGAGCCTGAGCTCTAGAGCCTGCAAGCCACAACTACTGAACCCATGTGCCACAACTACTGAAGCCTGAGCACCTACAGCCTGTGCTCCACCACAAGACAAACCACCGTGAAGAGAAGCCCGCGCACCACAACTAGAGAAAGCCCACGCGCAGCAACGAAGACCCAACGCAGCCAAAAATAAATAAATAAATAAAATAAATGAAAAAACAACCATAAAAACTAAAAATAGAACTATCATATGATCCAGCAATTCCACTTCTGGGTATATATCCGAAGGAAATGAAATCACATCTTGAAGAGATAACTGTACTCCCATGTTCACTGCAGCATTCACAATAGCTAAGACATGGAAACAACCTAAGTATTCATCAACAGATGAATGGATGAAATTTTGGTATATACACACACACAACGAAATATTATCAGCCATAAAAAAGGAACGGATCCTGCCATTTGCAGCAACATGGATGGACCCTGAGAGCATTATGCTAAGTGAACTTAAGTCAGACAGAGAAAGACAAATACAGTATGATCTCACATACATGTGGAATCTAAAAAAAAAAAAAAAAGTCAAACTCAGAGCAGAATGGTGGTTGCCAGGGGCTGGGGATGGGGGAAATAGAGAGATGTTGGTCAAAGGGTACAAACTTCCAGTTATAAGAAGAGTAAGTTCTAGGGATCTAACGTACAGTATGGTGACTACAGTTAACAATACTGTATTATATAACTGAAAGTTGCTAAAAGAGTAGATGTTCTCACCATATCCACACACAAAAATTTGTAATTATGTGAGGTGATGGACATATTAACTAATCGTATTGTTAATCATTTCACAGTATATATGTATATGAAAGAATCATGTTGTACCTTAAACTTACACAATATTATGTGTCAATTATACCTCAGTAAAGCTGGAAAAACAATAGAGAAGAAAACAAAAACTTAGCCCCATCTACTCTCCTTTTGGGAGTCATTTTCTCTGGAGGACATTGAAGAGTATCCATTCAATTATATATATCTGTACAGAGCAAACTTGTCAAAAGTATGTACAAGGTAGCTTTTTAAAATCCTGTACTAGAACTATGAGAATTTATAAAAACGTGTAACTTATAGAGTAAGACTGCAATAGGTCATAGTTCGAAGAGGATGTACAGCTTAATTTCAGAGTGAAAAGGGAACAAGATAAACATTCAGGGATCTTAACCTTGTGGGGGATAGCCATTAAGCAAATAATTATACAACTGACTAATTATAATTGTGGTAAGTGCTATGAAGAAAAAAATTCAGGATATTTATGAAGACATATAGGGGGTTCTAACCTAGTGTGAGGGCCTAGGAAGGCCATTCTGGTGAAGTGTCGCTGAATCTTAAGACTGGAAGGCAAGGAAGGAAAAGATAGAGGAGGGCACAAAGAAAAAGCATGGCCAAAGTGGAGTAAGTTAGAGTGAAAATGGCTGCAGATGAGAATAGAGGGGCAGGAGCCAGATCCTGAAGGGTCTGGTTGGCTATGTGAAAAGTTTAGATCTTTATGGTAAAAGCAGTGGAAAGCTATTGAAGCGTTTTAAGGAGAAGCATGTCATGATGTAATATGCTTTTTAGTAAGATTACTCTGGCGGCCGTCAGAGACTTGAATGGATGTGGAGAGGAGCTTCAGTATTCCATGTGACTGACGATGATGATTTATAGAAGAATGGTGGTATAGAGAGAATAGTAAATAAATTTGAGACACATTTTGGAAGTAGAATTCATTGGACCTGGTGATTGGATGTGGGTAGTGAGGAAGAGGGACAGATCAAGAAAGACTCCCACATTTCTGGACATTTGGGTAGATGGTGGTGCCATTTACTACAATTTAATATGTAATTAACATATATAATAAATTTAATAAATATTTAAAATATACATAACTTAGCTATTTGGGGAGGGAGGGAGCAAGATATTAAAAAGAATGGGTACAAAAGTGCATATTGCTTTCTAGCAATGCATATAACATGCTTATCCTTAGTAAAGTCAAGTCTATAAAAAACATCAAGCTTCAATAATGAAGGTGAAAGAATTCAAATGGAACAGACTATATGGACCTTGTTTATCACTCATTCAACAAATACTGAGTACCCACTGTGTACCAGGCATTGTTAGATGATGGAAAAATAGTGATCAACAATCTAAAGTTCCTAGAACTTACATTTTATTACATAGAAGACAAGCACATAGGAAACCATCTCAACAATGTTGGGAAACTGGTTATTTTTTAAAAATGTAGATCTTCACCTTTAAATATTAGGTGTCACCAGTTCTGGGTTCTGATGTTTCCAGTGATAATAGCTGCGTGACTTTGATAAAATTATTTTGCAAGGATTCAAATTCCTTGTCTATAAATATAAAACAAAGGAGATGGATTAGATAGTCTTTTTTCTTTTCCTAATCTGAGGATATAAGGGGTCTCCAAATGTAGCAATAGGAAAGTGATTTTCAGTTATTTGAAAAGCATGAAGGTGTATATTTACTTGTGATAAGGCTCTTAAAAATGATTCTGTGGTGTCCATGTAGGCAAAAAATTTTGGTAGTTAAAAAACCCTCCAAATTTGGCAACTTCTGGAATACTTAAGATCTAAGTCCTTCCAGATCAGAAATTATATTATTATATCTAACCTCATAGGGATTGGCAGGGTACCGTAACTCTGACTTTTTAAGGTTGCATTAAATAGAAGGTTGTTTATATGCATTAAAATTCTTTTGCTTTGAAGACTCTATAGTAGATTCTTGTGATTCATGAGGCTGAGACCCTTTAAGAATTCTAAATCCTTAAAACTAGCAAGCATATAATCTCAGTTTCTCCAACTCTAAAATGGAGGAAAGAATATTGACTAAGTTGCTGTGTCAGGCTTAAGTGAAGATCAAATCTGGGTCAGATTAGTTCGGTTCCTCTGAGACTAACCCAGCTCACTCTGAATTCTTGGGTTATTCTACTTAATGTCTCTGCAAAGTTAAGTTCCCCACTGTCAGGAACCTATTTGTTTTGAAATCTTGAGTTCAAACCTGCAAATGTGAAGTATTTACTCCACTTTCTTTTCTTTTGTTCAGATTTGAAGAAGTATAATACAGTGTTGGAGGAGTAGCACAGGCAAGAACTTTGTGGCCTAGATTCCAATCCTTTATCATCACTGCACCTTTGTTTTTATATTGTCTGTAAAACGGGAAAAAAGGGGGAAAAAAAAAACCTAGTTCCTGTGGTTGTGGAAATGAAAGAAAATCGGATGTAAATGATACGCTGCTATATAAATGGAACCAATTTTTAACATTTTCTTTTTTGCAGGTATACTTCAATGCATATGCATGATCTTCCAGAATTCAGTTCTGAAATTTACAGGTTAAGAAAACTTTACAGTAGTGTGCTACCATTTACTAACACTCATTATCTTGTAGGAAGCTGGCAAAGCTGGAAGTAGAACTCATCAGATCTTGCTGTTTATTCTTTTTTGACACTGCTTATTAATTTGTTTTAAATATCAAGAGCACAGACATTGGAGAATAGTAAGTCACCAGAATCCTACGGTATCACAACAGGTCAGCTTTTCTCAAAATGTCTAGGTTCTCTCAGCACATGGAAGGCTTCTTAGGTGGAAGGTGCTACCCTGTGACTTGTGAGAAAAAGTACCAACCCTAATTTACTTTATGGACACCAGTCAGGTTGCCCAGGGCAACCTCAGTCCCAGAGGTTGTGACTTTCAAATCACCTTCTGCAACTGGCTCTAAAATTCTGATCAACTTTGAATCAAAATGGAATACAGAAAACAGAATCTAGTCAAAATAGAAGACAAATTAACTGAAAAATTTTGTTGGCATAATCCGTACCACACAATCTGTAAAAGTTAGTGTCTACCGAAATCTTTTGGACCTCCAGGACAATTCACAAATGTTTACGGACTTGGAAACAAAATACCCCTTGCTTTTACTTTATGTCCTAGGCCCTCACTGCAACTTTCTTATTTGGGTTTTGACCTCTTCAAATCTGGTATTCTTAAAAGGTAGAGTTCAAAACAGATACAATCAAAAACAAAACAGCCTAATATAAAGAATAATAAAAAGATTACTTTAAATTCTCTGCTAGGTTATACATTGGGTCAGCAACTGTTACTGAAGGAGAAGAAGGTTAATGAAAATTATAAATGAATCTTTTAAAATCGATTAAGTCTAAAATTAGACTGTGCAAGTGCCTTGAAAATCTACAAATAGATGGTATTAGCTTCCTTACTAATTTAATTTTCAGGCTCTCCTAGAATTAGAGAAAACCAGGCCACTTTGACTTTTCCAAGTCTTTTGTTATAAACACACACACATTTTTATAAAGATAAATAACAAGCTACTGAAATAATAAAAATGCCCATTATAGAAGCTGTAATTATAAAATTAAAAAAATTTTTTTTTTTTTGGTTTTGTGTCACAGTTGATGTTAACTAGAGTAACAACAAAAGCAAAAAAACCCTGTAGGTCTAATTTTGAGGCACCCTTTTGTTTCTCCTCAGGCCCACCATCCTCCTTGTTCATTTTTTTCTTAATTTATCTTTTTCTGGCCACAATTAGGTGACAGAGAATTAAACCTTAACTTTCTACTGTTTCCATCAACAGTGAGTATAAATGCACCATATCCTTTTTTCCCCTCATATCCTTTTTTGAACAAGACACAATATAAACAGATGTCAAATTAACAAGGTACGTTTTTCTTGTTCAAAACCATCACGGCATTTTGCAATGGGGCATGAGTTGCATACCGTCCCCAATCATCTTTATACCTTCAGAGGCAATTCTGGCTTAATGCAATGCATGTTACATCTGTGTAGCCCAGTGGTTGCCTACAACGGTGGGTTTTTTTGGAGGGTGGGGGTGGGTGGGAGTGTGGGGTGCCCCAAATTTATAGTAAAGAGTACCGACAGTCAAAAACATCCAGCCCTCTGCCCAAACCCACCCAGTCGCACTCGGTCATTCTCGATATCTACTTTATTTTTTTCGGCAAACGCAGTCTTTTCCTGCAGCGGATGGCAAGGCCAGCGAGCGCCGACTTTTACTACACCCAATTAAAGCAGCAAAGAGAAGGCGAACCGTCGGCTGGATGCATACGTGTAAACTAATCGGCCTAATCCCGGGAGCCGTCCTCCGGGGTGGAGTCCTTCGGAGAGGCTGTAGCAGGCCGTCTCCACAGTAACCGGCCGCGGCGCCTCTGCAGTGCTGGGGCCCGGATGTTGTGAGGATCACGGCCGCGGGGCCCAGCTTCCTGCAGCCTGCCGGCGGCGGGCTGCGCTCCTCTTCGGGAGTCGTAGTTCTTCCCTCCGCCGCCGCCCGGTGTAAGGCGCGGGCGGGACTACGAGTCCCGGCATGCGCCGCGGCGCCCTGCCGCTCTCCGCCTTTCGGCTGCGGTCGCCTGCGAGCAGGTTGTTGTTTTTATGAGAGGCGTCACTGCTCTCGGAGCTGTGACCGCCGCCACCGCGACAGCTAACGCCGTCGGGCGGAGGTGGCGCTGCTCCTTCAGGTACGGCCCTGGGCAAGTTTGGACCCCAGGAGGGGAGTCCGGGCCGGCTGTCCTGGCTCAGCCGCCTGGCGGAGGCGGTCGCGGGGTTTCCGCTGAAGGGGGGCTTGACCCTAGGCGCTCGGTGTTTGCGGCCGCCTGGGTGGCGTCCTCGGAAGGCGAGTCTGCATCCGCCGTGGCGGAGCCGGTCCGGTGGTCCTGCAGCCTCGGTTCCCTGCGTTGCAGACGCGAGCGGTGTGCCGGGAGTGTGGGGGAGCCGACAGCCCAGGGGACGCACCCGCCTTCCTCCGCTGGGCTGGCTTAAGGCTCTCCTCGGTCCTGATTGATGAGAATCCATATGGTAAGATGTTATGTGCGTCACCCCGCCGGGTTTTCAGCCGGCCGGTCTTTTTTGGTGACGTTTGAGCCCCGTGATGACAGGAAGAGAAAGATTAATTAATGTGTTTAAGATTTCTGCTGTGAGCCTGGCTGATAATGATCAATTCTCCCTGTCTATCCTTTTCCGCCTCCACCGGTCCCCTTCCTAATCGATAAGCCCTCCGTAGCAGCAGGTCACACCGTGCCTTGTACGCGTTACTGTTTATTTAACGAATCAACTTTTTGCCTTTGGGAGCGCCAATTTTAACGAGCTCAGCCAATTAGGTACTTTGTTGAGTGGGTGAAATTTTCACTCAGTCTGGCTTTATTAAAAAATGGAATGGAGCCTTCCTGTAGCTAGAATAGGTAATTATTTTAGTACTGCGAATTTTAGGAGATTTGCCTCGTCAAATAAGGTCACATCTACTGGACGGTACTTGAAATGTCATTAGCGCATCGTATCTTTGGCTTAACGTTTGAATCTTATTAGGCCCCACCTTTCTCAGGGGGGTATTTATCACACCTTGGACGCTAGTGTGAATGGTTTACTATACTTCCCTGAGCTATGGTCATAAAGGGGAAGGGAAGGGAGAAAGTGAGGGTATTATTTTCATAAATAATTTCTAATCCTTTACCCAACCTAAGGATGGAATTCTAATTAAAGAAGCTATTAAAAATCATTCTCAGATAATATTTGAGGGTGTGGGAAATACTAGTTTTTAAATGAAAGTAGGTTAGAAAGTAGTGTAATACTAATTTTGTTAACTAAATAAACCATAGGACTAGAAGTGATTCGATGTCTATTAGAAACAAGACTCAAAGGAGTGTAATAGTTATAAAAGTGATTAGATGGTGAAACTACAAATTATTTTTTTCTTTATACTTTTTGGTATTTTCCAAAGTTGCTATAGGAAAAAACCTTAATTTAAAAAAAAGGACACAGGTGCAGCAATTCCAGTTATACAGACTCTTTAAACATTAATTTTAAAAAGCAAATAACAACTACAAACAACATAGGCAGAGCCCCTGTTACTGCATCCACGGACTCTGAATAACAAGTTTAAATGTATGTGAGTTGTTGAGAAGTGACAAGAAATGCATTGGTTGGACTGGAAAGGAAACAAAAAAATATGACAGTAATTCTTAGCATTTGTACATCTCGTCTTATTTTGATCTGTTTTCTTTTCATTTTGTACAGTAAAATCAAGACAAAATTGCTTACTTTTCTTCAATTAAGGGAGTGCAATCTTGATTATTACTATAACTCAAGGTGACAAAGCATGGGCATATTAATCTGAAAAGATCTGGGATGTAGCAGGATTTTTCATTTATTATTTGTAAACATTTGCCAGTGGAAATAAAGAAGTTAAACATTATTATAAAATGGGGGCTTTAAGCTTGTTTTCATCAAGTCATTTCAAGTATCAATACTATGTTTTATATGCCTGATATTTTGGATTATGTTTTTGTTTCATTTTCTATTATGGATATGTTGGATATGGTTGGGTAAGTAGCATATTTAGCCCACATTTTGTTTTCTGTCATAAAGAAAGGGCCACATTGTTCTTTGATAGGAATAGTCTATGTATTTTTGCAGTTATCAGTCTTGAAAAAATGGGGTTTACCTCAATTCCAAGTGTCCATTGACTCAATAAAATAGCCATTCTGAAGCTTTGTTTTTGTGTTTATTTTTTTTGCTTTTTTGTTTTTTAAGCTGTAGAAGTCATACTTTGTTTTCTTAGGTTCTTTTCTTTGGAGCATTGCTTCTCTCCCCAAATTTCAGTTTCTTTTCAATATTTTCTATTGTTTTATCTTGTGTATTTTGTGCCCTTTGTTGGCTCAATATCTCACTAAAAATTTGGGTTCATTTACAGGGCATAAGAAACATTCATAATTACTTAACATGTTTGATTTACTAACTGGTTCCACGGTATTGTCTAGGTTGTGTAATTGTATTTTATCTAAGTTAAATATTTTAAAAATTAGGTGAGTTTGAACTGAGAGCTTAGAAGTAGTAGTTTCTGACATGTAAAGAATATGGACACAGTGCAAGGCCTGTTAAGCCCAGGGTATTTTAAAACAGAAAATGCAGACTCATCTAACAATGCAGAACTACTAGAGGCTGAATTGCTTTTGTGTTTGTGAGTGGTTAAGATGAGGAAGTTGCCATATTGTAGGTGATAACTTACATTTTCAAGAATTTTCTTCCTGGGAGTTGGGCAGTTTTTGTTTTGTTTTTAAATTTATTTGTAAAAATGTGTTATACAGTTTTTAAAGGTTACTTTCCGTTTACAGTTATTACAAAATATTGGCTCTATTTTCCATGTTGTACAATACATTCTTGAGCCTATTTTACACCCAGTAGTTTGTACCTCCCACTCCCCTACCCTGTATCGCCCCCCCCAACCACTAGTTTGTTCTCTATATCTGTAAGTCTGCTTCTTTTTTTGTTATATTCACTAGTTTGTTGTATTGTTCATGTTCCACATATAAGTGATATCTTACCATGTTTGTCTGTCTGGCAGTTCTGCAGTTTTGACTAAATTAAAACAGTTTAAAAAAAATGAGTTGGTTTAAAAGGTCATGTTCGATGTATTGCACCAGATAAACTTGAAAATAAAAATCTCAGTTTGAGTTCTAAGGTGAAATTTAACTCTATAATATGGGGAGGATTGCAACTAACTGATAGATTTAGAGGATTTTTTTTCCAAGGGGTGTTTAAGGTGTGGAAACCTGCTTAAGGGCTTATAGAGTTTTCTGAAGGAAGTATTAGCAAGGAAGTATTAGTATTAGCAGCAAGTCAGAAATCTAATTTTTCTTCTGTATTTGTCCATAAAGCAGTTTCCTAAAACCTTATTTCTGGTTCATGATGCCAGCATGATGAAATGTGAAAAAAGAATTGGATTGGGAGTCAGGACATTTAATGATGTTGACAAATAATTTAACTTATGAGCTTCTATTGTTTCCATTTGTACATAATAAGTAACAGCCATTGCCATACTTCATGGGGTATGTGTGAAGATCAAATCAGATATAAAAAGTCGTATCACTTTGTAAGTGGCGGAGTGATCTACCCATGCAAAGTATTATTGGCCTGCGTAGGTAACGTTTACATAAAGCATATTATACATTTGAAGTGTGATGACTTAATGTGATATATATACTTTTGGACTGAGAAGTTTGACGGAAAAAAGTCAAATGGGATCTTCATTTGATTTTTTTGATAGTGCTTTTTGCCTTTTACTAGGTTGAAGGGAACCTGGCCCCTTTTCCTGACTGTGACTTTGTACTCTGCTGCATTAAACGTTCGGAAATTGCAGTGTGCTTTTATGGTTCAGCCTTTAATTTTGGTTTTGATTTGTTTTAATTGCACATCTAAAGTATAAAGAAGATCATCAGTGTAACTTAACAGTAGGAAGTGGATGTTGTTTTTAATGTTCTAAAACGGTTCTTTAAGTTGATTTCATGAACGGTGAGTTTACACAGAATGTCTAATTCCAGGTCCTCCCAGAGATACATTACATGTGCAAGCATTTGTCTTTCAGGGAAAGA